ACTTTCGAGTCCCGGATATGAAAACTCTTTTCAGTTCCGTGAACTCGAAGGCATTATTTAACTATTTGAAAGACATCGGTCTATTCTATAGACTCTGATGTCTTTTAACACACCTTACCCTCTTTGACGTTATCTATATCTTCGCTACTCACATGCTTGTTTAAAAAATCAATAATAAAAAAAAAAAAATCACCATGGCTCTAAATGACCACAGCCGTCGATGGGCCGTTAAACACAAACAAAGTATGCATGAATATCGTTATGTTTTCCTGTTCCGAAAGAGATGTATCTCCAAATAAAAGTAGATTTAAATTAAGAGGCATGTATTCATTCAGTTCACGATAAAGCTTAATTTTTTGTTCGATGTGTTTACCAGGGGTAAAAAAAGAAATGGTGTGTGTGTCTTTAATAGGGAAGCCACATATACAACGTTGGTAATCAATAAGGTTAACACGAAACAGCTCACTTTTTTTAAAGTACTAAAACGGTTTCTTAATTTGTATGCAAAATATTATTTTTTCATTTCTCCATAGAAAAAGTAATAAGGTACAAGAGGCAAGATTACGTCTTGAATGGCGTTTCTGAATTATGAGAACGTGGCGCTACGTCGTATACTAGTACAATGTAGGTAACTGGTTCCACTGTCTAACAGTAGAAGGAAAGAAGGATACGTTAGCTCATTCAAGTCTGTTGTTAGGTAGGTTCTAGCTTTCAGCGTTTCAAAGATTATAGTGAGAGTTATCGACAAGGGAAGGGAGTGGAGTTTTGAGATATTTAGGAGCTATATTATTGTGGATTTTATAAAATAATTGAAGTTTTCAACGGGATCTCCAATGGGCTAGAGAATCCCATCCAGTTTCATTATATATAGATTTCTACTAGTAAACGACGGTAAACTAGGGACAATACGTCCAGCTTCAAGTTGTAGCTTTTCTAATTTGTCTGTATCAGTAATAGAACAACCATCCCAAAGTTCACAACAATATTCTAGAATAGGAAGTATAAATGTTCTATATATCTTATTCAGTGTACGTCGGTTCAGGATATATTTCAATTTATGGAGGATACTTAATTCTTTAACTACTTTTTCACATATATTATCAACGTGATAGGTTCATTTACAGTTAGCATTGATGAATATTCCCAGATGCTTATGATTTAAAAAAATTCAATACTTACATTATTAAAGTTAATTTCAATGTGGTGATCAAGTTCAATATTAGATATAAGTAAAGACTCAGGATTAAATTTAACAAGCCACTTATCTGCCCACAATTGTATATTTACGAGATCATTATTAAGGTTTTGTTCAACTACTTGTGGTGATTAAAGCTGTGTATGAGAGCGGAGTGAGTTGAGTGACCACTAACCGCAGAGTCATGATCAGGATATATGTATTTGTCATCGTGAAAACAATTTAACATTGGGAATTTCAGTTAAACGGGTTTTATAAGTGAATGACAAGAGAACAAAAAGCGCAGGATTGTCGTTCTGGCATGTTTTACCCGCGGAACATGCGCAGGTGCGCACTCGGCATTTTCCGAGAGTGACTTGAATGCCATTTCAATTGATACAGAAAATCTTAGAAAGCAAAAGATAGAAGTCCCTTCTTTGTTATTACCAAATAAGAGGCCCATGGGCTCTAACGGTCACATGAGGTATGTAAAAACTGATGTTATCGATGTTGCCAAATGAAAAAGAAATCATTTTGTAACAAAGGTAACTTGAACTATATGTAATGCAAAAGAAGTGTGAAAGATCTGGATAGTATATGTACTATGGACAAATAGTGGTTCTGTCAGTCAGGTAAAGCACATGAAGATCCTTCCATCTATGAAGAGTATTTGATTCTACCATATCTGGATCTTGAGAAGAAGATTTTTGAAATTTTAGTCAATTTGACCCTTTTTGGCCCCAACCCTCAGGATGGGGGTTGGGGACCATATAATTCACAATTAAACTATAGTAAAGTTTATCCCCTCCCCAGGGGTAATACATGAGACCCCAGGGTCATGAAATTCCCATTTTTTTGTAAAGCACCTTAAGACCCTTTCATCTATTAAGAGTATTTGATCCTACAATATCTGGGTCTTGAGAAGAAGATTTTCGAAATTTTAGTCAACTTGACCCTTTTTGGCCCATCCATCCCCTGGGGATCAATCAGGGCTGATTTGTGCATATCATCAAACTGCTATCCAATTATGATAATGCTAACCAAGTTTGAATTAATTCCAATGAAAATTAAACAAATGTTGATTGACCTTTGGCATGGAAGATTTCTGCAAAATGTCTTTGAAATTGGTTGAGGGGCGATGGAGAAGAAGTCAAAAATGTAAATTGTTTACGGACGCACGACGCACGACGCCGGACAAAAGGCGATCATAATAGGTCACTTGAGACTTTGTCTCAGGTGACCTAAATAACATACGCACGTACACTAATGTAGCCGAGGCATTTTAAGCTGATTTGTATACTCTAATCCTCTCATGAAAACTACAACAAATCCCATTCATACCAAGCTTTACTAGTTTCCAGATGAAGGTTAGGCTGTTGTTGATACTTACATCCATCGTGTTATAGCTTTGGAATGTACGCACTCAACCTGTACTCTGAAAGGAACATTTCGATATTTTGGCTTATATTTGGGGATAAACGATCAATATGAGCAGAAAAGGAAACATATGTCAATTATCTAAGAGTCAAACAGGGTTATAATTAAATTTCTTCTCCAAGCAAGCATTTTTTTTGATAAAATAGACTTTTGAAAAGGACATCCAAATAAATAGCGTGGCACGGCACATAAACCGGGAAAGCTTTATTTTGGTCATTATTCTTACCTTTAAATTGTCTGTGTAACGATAATCAGCAGCCAATAAAGCTTACATACAGTTAAATTGCCATAACGAAATAAATTAAAACTGTATACATAAAAAGAACTTCTTTGCATTGAATGACAATTTCTTTGGCCGTTTTCCAATTAGTGTCCCGTTTTGGGTACTGTCCCCATTTGGGTACAGTAAAGGAAGTGTCTGCTACTTATGTGGCGCAAGATAGTAACACTTTCTGGAAAAAATGTCTTGTCTCCAAGACTGTTGAACCAACAACCAGCGAAAACAAGTAGTAAGAGGCACACATATGACTTAAGTGATATTTCGGATTTAGAAATGGAATTCATTCCGGACATTGCGAAGGCAGTGATCAACTGCAAAAGTGATATAAATCATGACAATCTATTCACAAGCTCTTCTAATTCAATTGTTCTTCGTCCTCTTATTCATCTTGCTCTAGAAAAGATGAATTTGTTTGATTATATACTTACATATTCCATAAAATAGTGTGATTTCCCTGTGATACACTGCTATACATGAGCTATTGTTTGTTTTCCTTGTCTGCGGAACAGTTTCCGACATTTTGTAACGAAATTTAAATTCAATAAAAAGCTAGCAACCCACCAATTTTTTTTTTGTAGTACCTATGTGGCGAGGAGAAAATTCTGATACAATGGCATTGGTAAAGGCGCCATGCCAAAAATAATTTTGAGTTCCACCTTTTGACCCTTTGAATCAACGATGAGTCCAAGAAGGACAAAACTTCTGTGTAGTACAGTGTCTGGTGGATGTCTTAGTCCCCGTTGTTTGCCGTAACCTTGATGGTCACATTTATTTATTTTTTAAGTAGTGGCAAGGTTCATGATATCCAATCATATAATTCATTTATAACTGACGAGTACTCGGGATTTACGCAATTTGCATACTGTTCGAACAGTATACTAGACCAATTTAGGTTTTCCAACTCTATGGCCCTAGCATCACCGATACGTCCCAGAAGGATGAAACAGGTGTATAGTGCATCGTAATTCACACAAGATATTTACGTCTCTAATGCGTTATTGAGATTATGTGGTGAAAGATAGATCGAACTTCGATCCCTTGTTGTGAGATATAAGGAGTCAGTACCCAAATCGGATCAGTACCCAAATTAGATGACATTTTGCAAACATACTTATAAATAAATAAATGTGTCAACAAATCAGTTATAACAATGATGTAGTCTTAGAATAGATAGCCATGTACTACAGATGATTAATTTTTAAGTTCAAATAGCACAAGAAAACGTTATTCAAACTCAAATGTCAGTGTTTTGGTCACGTTTAAAAAAAAAAAGGGTGTTTGCAACACTTATGCATTCTGGTTTGGACTATAGGAATAAATTCACACCCTAGAAAAATACTTTTTGTCTTATAAATTCTAAAGGTCGTCATAAAATGTTAATATGCTGACAAAAAGGTATTCATTTGAAGCGTAAGATACTGCAAAATTCAAGCCTTGATCCGATTTGGGTCCTTACATTCGCAAAAACCGGAGAAGCTGATTGGTTACTTCAGAGCATTCTATAAATATCTCAAGTGAGCTCCGGATGCTAATTTCGTTGGTAGGAACACACATCGATATTCTTCCTTTGATACAACCATAAATGAATATAATTCCTCCTCAGATTTTTTTAATGATTTAATAAAATGATCCGATATGGGAACTGTCACCTTATGTTTCAGTTCTACAAGCCATAGCTATAAACAGGTAAATAACCCGTGTTATTGTTTTATTTGTTACAACGCCAGTAACATGTGTACACAGAGCTAGAAAAACTTTGTTGAGCAATAATGATGCAACGGATGAGAAACAAAACGAAAAACAAAACAAAGTATACCTCATTCCCTTTGCTTCTCCAATTTTCGTTTCGTTTCGTTTCTTTCCGTTCTGTTTCGTTTCTCATTGTATAGGGACCCAATAGCGAAATCAGTACCAAATCTCTATTCTTGATGGAATTATATATCAAAACTAATTCTGTCTTAAATACACTGTACTACATAAATCTCGAGATCTTACTATGACAGTGGAGTGGTACATTTGTGCATATAATGTAGCAGAATAACAATATTAACATATCTGCGATTTTAAAGCGGATCGATAAATGTTAAAAAGAAAAACTAACTAAGACTGTATGCATTGTTTAATCAACAATTGACTACTTTATTATTGAAACATTTGAACATCTTGGATCTCTTTATATTTGTTATCCGATGGGTGGTGGTGCCAGTGTTGTACCACGTGTGGATGGTTCCGCCGGTCCTCGCGTACCTATCGGGCTCGGTGGTGCTCTGGTTGTGAAAGGGGGCGGGGACTTGGTGGTATACCTCGTGGAAGTAGAAGGAGGAGCAGGAGTAGGAAATCCCTGACGACGAGCTCTGTTTCCAAACGCACACCCGCCTAGGTAAAGTTTACCAGTAGAGGAAGCCAGCAAACAGACGCACGTGATTCGCGAGGAAATGTGTACCTCATCACCGATCAAATATCGGTCTCCGTTTTTTACACAGGAACGTGTATCTGAAATGAAATAACATGATAACTCATTGTATTGACAGTGCATCTATAAACTCCGTTTCTAATAATAGTGAGTAATTTCGGCATCCTGAATGCATACACTCAATGCTCTTACTCTTTCGACATCACAATTACATGACGAATTTAAATTTTGCCGTCGTAGTCGAAGGCCGTGAAGATCTTTGTTTGATATGCTATGACTGTCTTGCCGTCGGCATCTTACACCATCGCATGAAAACAAATGATTGTACAACCTTGCAATGAAAGTCTTCCATACCTGTTCAAATTTATGGTGCCCCTTTGATATACCAATTTTTATCTACTTTATCCAAAACTAATCATTAGAAATATGATATGAGGAAGTACCTATTTCAAATTTAGGTTGTTTATGTAGAAAGCTAAACAACATCACTATTTACTGCACCATGTGGCTTGTTCGTCCTTACTGGACTCGGTAGAGGTACATAAGTTCAAGACAAAATGAAAATCAACGTCTAAGAATTTCGGAAACATACGTACAAATACAGCGAAAAGAAAAGCTGCCTATGCAATCCTTGTAAAACGAAAGCAGATACACATTCCCACTACACAATTACTCCGGACTGATAGCCCGCTGGCAGAGTCAACCACATTGACATGTAAATTAATCACTAGAAATACGAAAGGATGAAACACTTAGATGTAGAAAGCCTTATTGTTTGCTGATGAAGAAAGCATTAGTTTATGTTGATGTGGAAAAGCATTAGTATATGTTGATGTAGATAGCATTAGTTAATGTTGATGTAGAAAGCCTTAGTTTATGTTGATGTAGAAAGCCTTAGTTTATGTTGACGTAGATAGCATTAGTTAATGTTGATGTAGATAGCATTAGTTTATGTTGATGTAGAATGCCTTAGTTTATGTTGATGTATAAAGCATTAGTATGTGTTGCTGTAGAAAGCCTAATGTTACGTTAATGTAGAAAGCATTAGTATATGTTGATGTAGATAGCATTAGTTTATGTTGATGTAGATAGCATTAGTTATGTTGATGTGGAAAACCTTAGTATATGTTGATGTAGATAGCATTAGTATGTGTTGCTGTAGAAATCCTAAGGTTATGTTAATGTAGAAAGCATTCGTTTTTGTTGATGCATAAAACCTTAGTATATGTTGATGAAGAAAGCCTTAAGTTTTGTTGATGAAGAAAGCCTTAGATTATGTTAATGTAGAAAGCATTAGTATATGTTGATGTAGATAGCATTAGTTAATGTTGATGTAGAAAGCCTTAGTTTATGTTGATGTAGAAAGCCTTAGTTTATGTTGATGTATAAAGCATTAGTATGTGTTGCTGTAGAAATCCTAAGGTTATGTTAATGTAGAAAGCATTCGTTTTTGTTGATGCATAAAACCTTAGTATATGTTGATGAAGAAAGCCTTAAGTTTTGTTGATGAAGAAAGCCTTAAGTTTTGTTGATAAAGAAAGCCTTAAGTTATGTTGATGTTAAAATTTTAGTTTTTGTTGATGAAGAAAGCCTTATTTATTGTTGATGAAGATAGCATTAGTTTATGCTGCTGTAGAAAGCATTTGTTTATGTTTATGTAGAAAGCATTAGTTTATGTTGATGAAGAACGCCTTAAGTTATGCTGATGAAGAAAGCTTTAAGTTATGTTAATTTATATAAGATACTATTTTACAATGCTGACATCTCCGAAAATATTTTTGCTTCCATTGCATTAAAGCTTTACATTATAATGTTGTAATTCAAAAACATTGACAAAATATACCCCAGCTTCAGCACACCAGTAGTAGATAAATTTGGAGTACCAACAAACAACGACAAAATAAATCATAGCGTCATTACTGCAAGAAAAGACATACTGGGGCACCAATAAACAATGACAAAATATACCAAACCGTCATTACAACACCATGATAATAAGCCAACAACAGGTGCTTAGACGACTTCCAAACTTGAGGAATGGCATATCGAAATTACAGACATGCTTTGGTCTGAAAATATTCTCTTTGTAACATTTTGGCGCTATCAGGTAAATAAAAATCATATCAATAAAATCAACTCGTCGTTTTATAAATGAGCAAAGGGGTTACTAAATGGCGCCTTGCACTAGGGTCCTGGGTACTTTATATAATCCCTTAAACTTTCCTGTACGCGAGGACAAAGTCTTTTTTCGTGGAGAAGGAAGAATAAGTCACAGCAGTTGACCTTCTTGCCACAAGCAAATGATTTTTTATTCAACAATATTTCTACAGCACGGGACTAGTTTCACCTTGTCCTGGATTTTCCTCCAAACGGAGACACATGGAAAAGATAACATCGTTTACATCACAAACGATTATCATAGACATTCATTCCGTGTCCTCCCCCACTTAAACCAAGACTCCTGCGCACTTCTATCCAATCCTACTATGATTTATACAAGTTAATATGATTTGTTCCATCAATTGTTGTAAAATAGATCAAGTTTATCACATGCATATGTTTTGTCGTTGTATGAGGGGAAATTTATTTTTCCGAGAGTAATCATATTATCTTGATAACAAAATAAACAACAAATCAAAAAGAAAATCCACATTTTATGTATAAATTAACTAAGAATCTGGTGGCCCTATTCGGTGTTGTATAGTAATCATGCAGTCTATATGACATGGCCAACAATAGTTAACGTATCTCGCCTTATCAGAGGATCAGATGTCCGTAACAAGACAGTGCTGGATAGACTCGAAACCCTTACCTGGTAAAATGTATCCTCCACTCCTTACGACTAGCCCCAAGCATATCAGCGATGTCCAAATTGCTTGCATTTTGTTCTGACTATGGAATGGTGAGAACAGTTTTAAGCTTGTTACACTCCCAAAAGAGGGATAGGAGAGTTGGTCACATAGTTCCTTATCAGAATGTCAACCCACTACGGGGCCACACCAGGGGTTTGACTTTCTGGAAAATGGGGCCACTTTAAAGGATTGCTACAAAATAAAAAGGAAATATTATAGTTGTTGATCAACTGTGATCAGATTATTTTTCCGCACTTTTTCTGTAAATCTAAGGAAATATGTTATCTATATGTTATCGACAGCCACAGACCTGTGCGTAACGTACATTTTCGAGTTATCTTTCTTAGGGCTGCATGCCGCATTTCTCACATTAAAGAAAACCCCGTACCACTTCCAAACAAAACCGAAAGAAAATAGCTTTGTTAAATCATTCTTTAAAAGAACTCATACCTTGCAAAACTTTAATGAAAATGTGCGGAAGAAAATTAAAAACAACAAAATATTAGTAACAAAGCATTTGAGCTACCTGATCGGTTGAATTATTCTGGTCCATTCTTACGACAATTAATCCAAAATGAGACCTAAAGTGGAATGCTCGTGTGTTTTACCTGCAGGTCGAGGTAAGTTATTAAGTATGGATACAAGATAACTAAATGAAATAAAATAAAATAAATGAAGATGTTTCTATTGATACACAAAACAATAGTTTGATATCACCAGTCCGTAAAGTAACATGGTATACTCCAGTGTCATGTTTACACCCAAAGACGACCATTATTTATATCAGATCAAACAGCATTTATCAAGATAGACCGGTAAGTATTGATCACTGAAAAAGAAGCACATAGAGTAAGGTACATGTATAAGTCAGAGGCCATCTACAGACCTCATAGGTGTTAAATTACCAAAATATATGAGTAATATAATTACTTCACAAATGTATCAGTATAATGTATTCAGTACTGTCAAACCGCAGAAATATATTAATAGATACGTCGTAAGTGATTACGTGCAGTCTGTCAAGCACTGGCCTATAGACGTGTAGATAGTGATGCTGCCTCGTTAAGGTAACCAGTATACAGTAATCATGTAGGTCAAACAACAGATATATACGAAATACAAACTATTTCAGCTATCTTTATATTGTATTAACCAACAATTGGATAGGCACAGGCATCGCCTATTAAAGCCTTTTTCTAGAAGAGAGAACCTACTTTTCAAATATTCATACAGACACACACACACACACACACACACACACACACACACATAGATATAGAAGATACAAAACATGTTTATAGGAGATACGATAAATTGTATATATATTCAGATAAATAGATGAAAACTAGAACCAATTTGCTAGAATATTGTTGCATATATACAGACATTAACAATTAGAACGCCTGAGAATTTAACAGGTATATTCTAGTGTACACCAGATTAGTATGAATGATATAGAAAATAAGTAATTTACAAAACATTATTCTGTATAGGTTAAACTCTTTCAGATTTTTCAATACATTTCAAAAAAAACAGAGAATGAATTTATGTGATTCAATGCTAAGATTGATTTCAGCAATTTCACAGTAAACAGTATTGTCAACCAGAAACACAATAGTAGAAGAAAAAATGACTTCGATAATAGACATAGCCGTTTCTGTGGTGTTTAAGATGAAATGGAAAGCGCAGTTAACAAAACATCGCCGTTTTGTCTGTGATAACAGTGTTCAGTACTTTTAGGTGAATCACCGTGTCCACAGTCCTGGTGTTGTGTCTGTGATTCAGACAGCACCGTATGTCAATTCTCACACCGACACCGTCACAGAAGGTCAAAACGTGGGTCTAATATCGATAAATGTGGGAAATCATAATAAAAACGATTGATTAAAAAACCCATTAAGGAAAGGTCTATGTATATTTAGTTTGCAAGTTATGACCTGCGATAAGGAATATGTACTCAATGCCTGTTTTCTCATCCTTTTAGCTATTTTCAGGTCCGGTAAACTGCAGTTTGAACAATATCGCTCTAAAGAACCGCTAATAGCTGTATTAACCTATCTGAAATAGATTTTTAAGCTATTTTCACTAAATTTTCTTTCTTAAAAGACAGCAATAAAGAATATCATTTAAAAGAAGATTGATTTGAACTATTTGGATAACCAGAGACATCAAATACAAATTTTATCATATTTTTTAAATTATGTTAAAAACCCGTAAATTTAAATTTAAGCAAAGTATAAACAAAGGGGAGACAAGACAAAAATACAAGGAGTGTAAGACCAGATGTTTCGGAAGGGTAGGTGTTTTCTGTTTTGATGACGATACCTGCCGTTTATATCTAGGTCAAATTCTATTGATTTTTTTCTCATATCGAGGAAGATCTAGCAAGGAGCGCGGAAACCGTGACCTAGACAAACAAAGGCGGGGTCATCTCAAAAAATACTTGAATTGTTTATCGAACATTGTATATAAGGTACATGTATTGACAAGGATACGTGCCATTTCAAATGGGTTACTCAAAAGGCGACTAAAACCGTTGAGCCGCTGTCATTTAATTACGAAAAAGTTATCAGATGTTTAGGTAAGTGAAAAGCTTAGTGTATGTGGCATAAAACAACAAATTAACCTATTGTGAATTGATATGCATCTGAATAGGAAATCTGTGGATGTCATTGCATGGAATGATACGTATACCGTTCGCATGACATCGCATAAAACGATATCTAAAAGAAAACACCAAGTGCTGTATAATTAATATAATGTTCCATTTTAAATTTCTCTGTTCCGAGTTTTAGGTGTGAACAGCTACCTTTTTTCAGAAAAGCTTTCCTCGTCGGCATCTCTTATGTTAGGGGAGTATACCTCTATCAAGGTCTACTATGGAACATATGGTAAACCCTTTTACCATGTTCTTATATCTAGGTTTTGTAAGTCTGCTGTACTGGATTGTCGGGGTTCTCGCAGCAGGAATAACCTTAGCTAGGGATATTGGTATCGTTGTCTGGAATGTCCTCATTACGGCTCGGTGTGGTGCTATCCCATCTGGTAAGCACACATATTACATCAACTATTTAAAGAAGTGAGACTAAGCAATTTAATAACAAACCAAATACGAAACCCGTATGTTATCTAACAGTTATTACGTATTTTAAATATGAAAAGAAAACTGACCTAATATTATAAAATCATCATCGGAAAAATAGGTCATCATTCTTCTGTGGCTATTTTAATAGGAATGGATAGACGTTACTGGGCTTGCTGGCAAAACCTTTGCTATCTAGATACAATACAGGTATTAGGGTTTTTCCTAAGAAAGAAGGCATATACCCATAACATTTATCAATATAGCAAGTTTCTGCAAGGTAAATGAATATAACTATAGATTTTGTTAAACAACATAGAGGGTATACACACATAGAATATGTTAAAATAGATTGATCTGTCAGCCAGGCAAGTTGTACATAAACATCAGATAGGTTATGTAACGTATTCCTGCAAGGAAGAGGGTATACATATATAGAATATGTAAACATATATGAACATAGCATATGTTACAATAGCATATTCCTGCTATGTACATGTGTGTATATGACACCCTTGAATTTCCACGGGTTACACTCACTTACGTTCTCTACACCCCTGAAATATGTCATGACAAAATCGAAAGCATAACAATCGCTAAGCTGATTTCTGTCCTTTTACTATTATAGAGAAACGATTTCAATGCCGGCTAATTTTACCGCGAAGCTGCAACGCGTGTATTTTGATGTGAATCGATTTTGTCATGACTACGATGTAGATAACGTGAGAGTTCATTACCCTTGGAATTTCGAGGATGGGTAGATGAAAAAGTAGATAGAAAATATATAAAGATTTTGAGTTCTTACCAGGCAAAGACCAAATAAACATAGAATATGTTGACATAGCGAAATACACGCAGACGACACATACGGGCATAACACATGCTAGGTTTTTTTCCTGAAAAGAAAATAATGGTACCACAGATACTGTGAAATCAGATATTTTCATGGGGCCAAAATTGCGTGGTTTGCCGACAAAACATCATTTCTCTGGTACATGAATTTGTTGACTACGAGTTACCACTCAAACGGATAATTGCTTTTTATCAAACTTGTAATTACTTCGTGAACCTATGAGTTCGTGGATATAGATTACACATGAAATCAACGAAATCAATAGCCCCATGAAAACTACGGATTTCACAGTATTTGCTGTTTTAGCGTCAAAATCAATGTAGTTTAGTTAGATACACTAGATAACAGATTGAGACATGACCATCAGTTTTATAATCTGTTCTGCTTATTGATTGACATTTTATTTTGAAACAAATAAGTTTGCTTGTGGACAGAGATCGACATAATATTCTGTCTGTTTTAGCGAGAATTGTTACCAACGAGAAGCCATAAACATATTTCAAGAAGCATCTATTGGGTGACCCAGGAACTACATTACGAGAGAAATGATTAGATGATTTTAATATCGCTTTATCATATGATGACACGTCAAAACTATAAAAGTCCATTTCAGTCTCTTATCAAGACAAGATCTATTCACGCCTGCACGGGAAATGTGCCAACTAATGGTCTCTAGGGACAGGAAATGGTAGGAGTTTTACGCCACGTAATGGACGAAGTATCAATATATCAACGTAACATGGCACGTTAAGTACAAACATGCATTTCTCCGTGATACTGATACAGCTAACTTTGACAATGTTTTATAATAATTTGATATTAAATTTGTGGCGGCTATATTTCTACCGATTAAAGCGAAAGTAGGATTTTCATGAGATTTGTATATTTAATATGTTTGTTAATCCGTAATCTCAATTTAGCTTACGTCACATAAAAAACACCTGGTTGCATTTTTATAAAAAATAAATGACGAATCTAAGCATTAAACGTCATAGATGTGGCAGACATACTGGTAAAGCTGTGTATCACAGACATTGTTCACCATCCAGCTGGTCTGTGACACAATTGAATCTATTTCTAAAGGTTTGTCACATCTATGTCGTATATTGCTTTACACCATATAACTGACCCATTTTACTGCCTTGTAATAAATATGGTATTACACACGCGTAATAATACCTCAAGCTGCTGCGATAGGTCCAAACTGTGGAAACCTATTCTTACATAATCAAATTTACATGTGAGGAAGAAACCAACGGCACTATGCCCTTCCTAGACACTTACTGGTAAAGAAAGAAGAAGGAACCGTGAAGGTATTGGTCTATAGAAAAAAGACCCATACGGACCAATACTTGAACATCAAATCTCACCATCCTTTGCACCAGAAGTTAGGCGCTGTTCGCACATTGTTCAACAGATGTGATACACTAGTCATAGAACAATAGGACAAAACACAAGGGCAGAATCACATCGCTAGGGCAATGAGAACAGTGTCAAAGTAAGAAGAAGGACAAAAAAGGGCCAATTAAGGATAAGAACAAAACCAAAGGTCAAGTGGTCATCCCGTACACCCTAAGGATAAAACACCAAAAGAAAACGTCGCAGAATGCGTAGACAAAATCGGATGCAAAAACTGCGACGCGTCGTATATTGGAGAGACTGGAAGGCGTTTTGGGGTCCACCTTGGTGAACACCGGAAAGATACAGAAACCCAAGAAGGTAGGAAATTCACCAGATCAGAAAGGAAGCAATCGGAGTCCCAGATAAATAAATCGGCAATCACAGACCATGTCACACAGAAAAATCATGTGATTGACTGGGATAACTTTGGACAGTGACAGCAATCTGTTAAAGCGGCTGATAAAGGAAGTCATCTGGATACACCGCAGTGAGCCAGTTCTAAATCGAGACGAGGGGGCTCAAAGACTCTCGCACATCTATGACCAAGTATTAAACAAAGCGTAGCTGAATCGAGTCATTTTGGTACAGATATAACAACTGTTGTATACGCTTACAGCGTAGCCGAAATCGACATCGATTTTGTGGACGACTCGTACACATTTTACACCTTTGTGTGCATACGCTTCACTGGCCATTTGCCTGATGAAGGTGACAGTTTACTATTCGTACTAGTTATCGTAACGTCACATGGAAAATTTCATTGGTTGTGTAAAAATCTTTTTATAATCCATACTTACCAACCTGAAGAAAATGTTTAGAAATATTATTCTTACCCAACTACAGGTACATGTACTACTATTATCTACTCTACCCCAAGGGACATTTACCATTAATTTATATTATTTAAATGTGTTGATTCCGTCACTACTTTTTTCATTGCATTTAAAATTGTTCATTCTATAAATTCGCCTGAACAATTTTCCTAAATTCAATATGACATGTACTCTCATGTAAGATCCTCTGGTATATAAAGTGTAATCCATTTACTCATAGCATAAATAGATGATTTGTCACAATGTTCATGTCGAGGGAAATGAGCCGCTGACAACTGCAACATTTCTTGGGGAAGTGGTAGTGTTTTGGTCGTTTTCTCGACATACGCTTTGGTGCCGTAGATCTTGAGTTCGGGGCCCGGCCTGGGCAGAATTGATTAAAAACACTAAGTAGTCTCGCACAATCCCTTTGTTATATAATCATCTTTACATCTACTAAGATTTACTAATTTATTAAGTCATATCCAACTTGATAAAATGACAAAGTGTAATACTACATCACTGTTCTGGTGACGAAAACAAAGAGTAAAGATGACGAAAACAAAGGGTACAGATGACAAAAACAAAGAGTAAAAATGACGAAAACAAAGGGTAAAGATGACGAAAACAAAGAGTTAAGATGACAAAAACATAGGGTAAAGATGACGAAAACAAAGGGTACAGATGACAAAAACAAAGGGTAAAGATGACGAAAACAAAGAGCAAAGAGGACGAAAACAAAGGGTACAGACGTCAAAAACTAAGAGTTAAGATGACGAAAACATAGGGTAAAGGTGACGAAAACAAAGAGTTAAGATGACGACAGCATAGGGTAAAGATGACGAAAACAAAGAGTTAAGATGACGAGAACAAAGGGTAAAGATGACGAAAACAAAAAGTAAAGATAACGAAAACAAAGAGTAAAGAGGACGAAAACAAAGGGTAAAGATGACGAAAACAAAAAGTAAAGATAACGAAAACAAAGAGTAAAGAGGACGAAAACAAAGGGTACAGACGTCAAAAACAAAGGGTAAAGATGACGAAAACAAAGAGTTAAGATGACAAAAACATAGGGTAAAGATGACGAAAACAAAGGGTACAGATGACAAAAACAAAGAGTAAAGATGACGAAAACATAGGGTAAAGATGACGAAAACAAAGGGTAAAGATGACGAAAACAAAGAGTACAGATGTCAAAAACAAAGGGTAAAGATGACGAAAACAAAGAGTAAAGATGACGAAAACAAAGAGTACAGATGTCAAAAACAAAGGGTAAAGATGACGAAAACAAAGAGTTAAGATGACGAAAACATAGGGTAAAGATGACGAAAACAAAGAGTTAAGATGACGAAAACAAAGGGTAAAGATGACGAAAACAAAGAGTAAAGAGGACGAAAACAAAGGGTACAGATGTCAAAAACAAAGGGTAAAGATGACGAAAACAAAGAGTTAAGATGACGAAAACAAAGGGTAAAGATGACGAAAACAAAGAGTAAAGAGGACGAAAACAAAGGGTACAGACGTCAAAAACAAAGGGTAAAGATGACGAAAACAAAGAGTTAAGATGACGAAAACATAGGGTAAAGATGACGAAAACAAAGAGTTAAGATGACGAAAACAAAGGGTAAAGATGACGAAAACAAAGAGTAAAGAGGACGAAAACAAAGGGTACAGATGACAAAAACAAAGAGTAAAGATGACGAAAACAAAGAGTTAAGATGACGAAAACAAAGGGTAAAGATGACGAAAACAAAGAGTAAAGAGGACGAAAACAAAGGGTACAGATGACAAAAACAAAGGGTAAAGATGACGAAAACAAAGAGTTAAGATGACGAAAACAAAGGGTAAAGATGACGAAAACAAAGAGTTAAGAGGACGAAAACAAAGGGTAAAGATGACGAAAACAAAGGGTACAGATGACGAAAACAAAGAGTAAAGATGACGAAAACAAAGAGTACAGATGACAAAAAACAAAGGGTAAAGATGAAGAAAAACGAAGGGTCAAGAAGAAAGAACATATACATAGGTCCCAGCTGTTGCAATAGAGGACGCAGAACAGTTCTGGTTTTTCAAAGTGCTTTAGATAGAAGACACAGGAAGAATCTCCCGAGGGGACCTTTAACGACACCTTTTACGACACCTTTTACGACATACATACAGTGGGATCCAGCAGAACTATTCTTGTCCTTGAACAAAGGAATTATCCTCCGCCATCTTGTATATTGTACTTTATTGTGAACCATGTGTGATGTAATTGTATAACCTATATGCTGTATTGCATTTGGTAAATAAAACTTGAACTTGAACATCATGGCTAATATACCTGGATACAGCGCTTGATAAAGTTATATTTACTCCTTTAGTATGTTACTGAATGCACTGATGATGCACAATGGCGAGATAAAATTACCGTAAAACCTCTTTATAATGTCATCATTAGTCAAGTGAAAGATATGAAATGGTGACTTTAACTAGATGTAAGATGACGATAAGCGAGGTGGTAAATAATGCGAAAGACATTATATCGAGGTTTAGCTGCAGTCAAAAGATACATTTAGTCGCAAGTATTAGAAAGGAATATATAACATCAGAGTATCGGCCTAGATCTACTTGTATAGTTATTTCATTCGTTTTTTAAATGTTTTAATATAAACCTAAATGAAGGTCACCTTGACTAGTAGTCTGGAACGTCGTCTCCTCGATGTTTAGATTTTGTATAATAAAAACTAGGTACATGTGTATGTATATTCAAGCTTCCTCGGAACAAACAAAACGCACAAAAAGAAATTGTAAATCCTTGTTGAAAAAAGGGTATTTCTGTAAATAAGATTGAAAGCAGTGTTGGCGGAACCAGAAACACATGGTGTAAATTATAAAGTTAAGTCTTTAAAACAAATTGTCTGATATTATCGTCTTTTGTATCTTCAAAATCGGTGGTGTGTTTCCTTGGTAAATTACATAAACAGCCTCCACTCATCCCCCGTACACACGCACTAGGGTAATTTAAGTCAGCCATATTTGATTGAGTCACAGCCTTGCGCGGCGTCTAATATACAAACAGGAAACTGTCTAGTTGATAGACCGGCCTGGTCCGATGCAGATGTGTGTTCCTGCCTCCAATGGGCTCGACTGGTGTGTTTGTCCCCGTTTACATGCTAATATCTTAGGTTTACCTAGGATACCCGTGATTGGATTATATGTGACAACAAGTGCACCTCATTGTGGAGAAATGTGTTAGTAACACACGTAAAGCTTTGTTGATTAGAGTTTTACCAACGGAACGACGTATAAAAACAAAGGAGAAACACAACCTTAAACACCTAATTGTGTGTTACATAAATGGAATACTTATCACTTTTAACACTACAAGTCTAAGCTGGCATTTAATTTAAATTCCAGAATCTACAATCAAGTCAGAACAACTTAGACAGCGACCAGTGGAGGTCTGTCCACATACAACAAACAAAATGAACGTTCTACCAATTTTTCGGAACGATTGGGAACGCGCACGACAAATACACGGAGAGAATTATACTGGAGAGGATATATTCTACTGGAAACCCCTGGAAGAGGAACCCATTGTTACTGTAGTGTTCTTAGCGTGTATAGTTCTGTCAATGCTGGTGGGCTTCTTCGGGAACATACTGGTAAGTACAAAAATCACCGAGGGGTTCCTAATAAGAAGTAAATGGATACGGAAACATTATTTTAATGCGTATGTGTATTATTTAGAAGGTACATGAATGTTTGTATGCGTAGTGTGTATCTATATGAACTCAAATGAATGTGTGCGAGGCTTATATGACGTCAGTGTTCTGACGTCATGTTTATCATTTTTATCATGATGTCACAATGGGTTATGACAAAATACACAATACCCTAACAATAGGACATGAGTCTGTTCACTGCAAAATAGTCATGTGAAAACATTGTGTATCACGTTATAAATGTTATAACGTATTTAATTTGCGGAAATAGTTTATTTAAAACTTGAGCATAGAAAGATTCACTCTTAAATGAGCCGACGTGTTGAGATTTATAACGGATGTAATCAACTTACACAAACTTCGTTAAAAGTACTGAACACGTCATAAATTGGGTCACACTGTCATACATGATTTATGATAAGGGTCTGCAATGATTCATTGATAACGAGTTATCTATACACATGGTCTTCTAAGGTTGTCATTTGGTTTTCTATGTGATTAATTTCTAATATAACATACGGATAAACTAGCATTTAGTAGAAATTTGAAGTTATCATAGTTGGAAAACAAATTCAAACCCAATTAGAAGAAGGGTTATTTGGAATTAATGTATAATTTTCTTTTTCACCTCAACTATTATTGATTAATATAATTCAAATGTCCATGCTCTTGTCAGAATTTGTTCAAACCGTATTGAGCTGACAGCAGAGGATTTTTGCAAGTCCTACAGTCAGATTAAAATCTGTGTTCCGGTATCTGTGTATACAATTAAAGGGTTACTTCAATAGTTGAAGACGGCTAGACGCGTAAAATATATATTTGTTGAAAAAACAAATAGAAAAAAAAATATCAAACATTTTGTAAGATACTAGGAGAGTTTCAACAATAATACTTATGGTATGTTCTTATGGAAGAGACCTCTTTGGCAACAATCACAATTGTTCATTATGCTTGCTGATATTCACCATCCATTTTGCCAAACATGTTGACTAAGAATACGTCGATCTCTATCTGGTTTTGCAGAGATTGTAAGGTTTAAGAAAGATTTCAATAAACAACATCTGTTTTAAAGACGAACTGGTTGACCTATGACACATCAGTGGTAAACTGTAGGTAGATATCTGTCGGTAGCTGTAGATAAGTACGCTCTCGAGAGCAGTGAACTGTTTGACACGTAAAGGATCGAGATTTCCTCTTTGGAACTTTAAAGTGTTATATGTATACTTTGATAATTTCAAAGACAATGAAAAAATATCCTTACATCCTCAATATTAAAACCTTTACTTTCTGCTATTGTTTTGGTATTTTTTAACATTTAACAATATCTTTGATCAAATTGTAACAGGTATATCATATATCCCCTTCTTTATACAAAGAATGTATTCGACTATACGATTACACTTGTCTTTTGACAGACTCCTAACCCCAATAAGACAGCCATTGTGTCAAACTCTCCCATTTCGCCTCGTATGCATTTAAAAAGTTGAGAAATTTAAGCCTCCTTTTTTCCTGTTTTTTAAATAAAATCTGGATATTAAAAGTGTTCAGGCGAGAGGCGCTCTTGCATTGTATCACGATTTAAAAATAGGCTGAAGCATTCTTTTGTAACGTTACGAGTGGTAATAACAAAATTTTCAATCACCCATGTCAATCACCCATCTTCTACGTAATCCATTTTGTAACATATAAGCTGCACAAAATTATATTTTTTTTTATCAATAAACAGTCGACAGTACAATACATTAACCGTGATGTTGATCATAGTCCTGTTACGATAGGTTGATATAAAGAATAGAATTAAGATGAACTATTAGATAGGGTACCTGTCATCTTACGGATATTTCTTGTTCTTGCGACAGAATGTATCATAAAATTTCACTCCCGAAAGTGATCTATAAATAGCTCCACTAACGTGCCTTGTCTGCAGGTTTCAGGACAAGTGACACGGTTATTTATTTAGCCATATCTACAACTTGATAAAAACAGCAATATTTTCATTTCCTGAGAATGATTAATTTGAAATAAAATTGATTTTATCTCATAACTTTAAGTTTAAAATTTCACAGTGTGAAAGAACTTCCTGCGGCATAACGTCACAATACTTAATGATGTCACACCTCAGAATTGATTCCTACTGCGTCACTTATCAACCTCGATATTTTTCCGATCTACAAGATCAAATTACGCGTATTGTACACAGAAAAGCGAATTTTTCCTAAATGTGTCTGTTATTGATTAAACATGATAATTCGACGTAATTGGTTTCAATTTATATCAATCTCTTAACTTTATTGCCAAATATTTTCTTCCCGCTGAAGCTCGTAGATTATTCTTAGGAATTCACTCAAACTGTTAGATATTAGTTATAAATCTCGAGATATATTTTATATATCATAAATGTATAAATCTGCCCTCCACGATATGTATCCTTCCAAATATGCCTCATACACAACAAACTATTTGTATAAGTTAACATCAAGCTCGGACAACCCTCATTTGCATATCGTCATCATGTAAATATATTCACTTGAGTATTTTGTTCATTATAAACTACGTAGATCCGATTTCCTTGAAACCTATTCATGTGTATGAATGTGTCGTTTTATTTTCCGAGAGATCCACATTTCATTCCCGGTAAGTTGGCATATATATATATTACACTTTTTGTTGAACAATGGCAAGGACCGATAACAATAAGATCTCTGATGTGATCGATCCGATTCTTAATTATTAGGACCAATTAAAGAAATGTGTGAAACCGTAAATTCACAGTATCTGATTATTTACACTTCTGCCACAACTCCGATTACAAACAATACAAGATATTACGTTAATTAGGCTATGAATGGCATTGTATCAGTGTCATTTTGACACTTCTAATATATATTGTGAGACCTACGTAGGAAACAAACATTCAACTCTGACCGTATTAACCTTTGTTTGTTAGATAGAAGTGAAACGTTCATGGTACAACAACTTTGTAGCATATTTTCCCTTGGTCTACAATTAACTGACGGACCCACAATGACCCCACACTTGCAGACACGAAAGGGGTTATGTGAGACTAGCCCAATTTTCCTCTAGCCTTGACACCAGACCTAGACATTTTGTCTTAGACTGGTGTCAGAGCCAGAGGAAACTCGGGCTAATCTATTAATTGTTCCAAACGAAGCAATTTCTAAGGGGTGGACTTGTATAAAATGATCCCGACTGTTTACCTGAGAAACCTTAACGCAGCAGGTGAAAACTGTGCTAGCTCCTTTATTATTGTCTACTGAAGGATATGCAACCTAAAAGAGGAAAAGAGTTTTTGAAAGCTTTTTCATATCGACGAGACCTTATCATTTGCAATGTCTATCACAAAATCCTAACGTTTGAAACACAACACACTATCCTGTGTCACCGGTTTTGTTTTGTGGTTTCGAGTAGTTTTCAATGCAGACTTTTTAAAATACATTCCTATGCTCTTTTTCCAAGACAAAAAGTGTCTGATGCAGTTTTGATAGAGGACAAAATAATTTATCACATACCTGTTGAATCTTGTTATAGTAATACAAGCAATTTTCGGACCATAAAATACAACGTTCTGTATTGCACATATGCAATACGGAATGTTGTATTTACCTACTAGCCGGAACTACTTTTTTGTGGAATCCCCTTGTCATGGCGAACTGAAAAGTTCCCGTAATTTGCAAAAAATATCAAAGTTTATAAAATCTTTGTATCGATCTCTACCAAATACGGAAGGTATGTGACAAAAGCAAGACCACACACTTGTGTTTTTCTAACGAATCAGAAAGCACTCATTTATTCCGCGCACTAGTGAATATATTCGTCCGCGCAATAAACTCGTGCTTAGAAAGCTCGTTAGAAAAACACAAGTGTGTGGTCTTGCATATATATCTAACGAAATGGTTGATCTAGAAATAATCATATGAAGGAATAGTTGATGTCCGAGTAACGGTCGACTCCAACAAATAATGGAGCCGATACCTCGAAGGGACGGAGGCCCAATACACTGAAGGAATTAACAGTTACAAGGATATTTACCCAATTCATATAAGTATTTGAAAGGTTGTTCATCCTTTCGTAGTATTCATAGACAGAAAAAATGATACACAACGTGATATTATTTATAGATGAAGATAATCATCTCTAATGGACTATTATACAGTTAAGTATTGACTTGAGGGATATAGCAATTTTCTAGATCCCTGAGACCAGATCAATTTCCCGAAATGGCACTGATGGGACAAGGCCTAGTCGAAGGGAACCAGAAACTTGCTATCCCCAAATAAACCCATAATTATTTCAAAAGAAATTGTTCAACTGCAATTTTTGAAAAACAAATCTAAAACTCTTTCAATCAACCGTTTCCACTCTTGTGTCACGATCGATAACAACCGGAAAGGGATCGGTCAGAACTGACTTAGACATTTCCGTGAGGAAGTGACGGAACCTGCCGAGGAGTTAATCTACACCCCAAAAATTACCGAGGGAGTTTGTCTTCATAGATGTTTATGTGTTCGGACATGTACAGGGCTGAAAAAGGACAACACGGGGATATAGTTACTTTTACGGATCACTTTAATACAATTTACATTGAATAGTAAAAATAGAACACTCTGACAGTAAATATGGAACACTCAGACAGTAAATATAGAACACTCTGACAGTAAATATGGAACACTCCGACAGTAAAAATAGAACACTCTGATAGTAAATATGGAACACTCCGACAGTAAATATAGAACACTCTGACAGTAAAAATAGAACACTCTGACAGTAAATATAGAACACTCTGATAGTAAATATGGAACACTCTGACAGTAAAAATAGAACACTCTGACAGTAAATATAGAACAATCTGACAGTAAATATAGAACACTCTGATAGTAAATATGGAACACTCTGACTGTAAAAATAGAACACTCTGATAG